ATTTCACGAGCAGAGCCTTTAATAATGCATAGGTTCAAGGAGTTCCTTTTATCTTATAGATAAAATATTATGAGCATTCATATGAGGGTAAAGACCTTAAGGTTCGTGGTATACAGAATTTCAAGAGAATCCTTGAGTTTCATCAGTATATCACTGTTGCCTTTTCTGGTCATTCAGATTGCTTTCAGTTTGACACTTTAAAATCCACATTCAGGAGGACGTTTGATGCCACAATCAGAATTCTGATTGAAATTCCATATTATTGAGGGCAACATGATGTAACAAACGGCCGATCTGCAACAAAGTCGATAGGATTTGCGTTACGATGTAAAAACCAGAAGTGCTCAGCCTACTGTATATTGCTATAAAAGGCCATCGTGTTTTCACTGACTGTAACCAACTTGAGTCATCGACCGATATATAACGCGCGCGTAACCATTATCCTGATTGGTTCTTTTGTGCATAACATTATTAGTAGCAACTTCATACAGTTAACATTATTTGAGATAATCTAAAGGAAATTTACCAAACATTGCTTCGCCATTCTGTCATCCAGGTCTGGAGTTTTGCATGAACAGGTGCTACGTGAGTTAGGAAAGCCCCCTCATCGCCCCTATACAGTATCAGTCCTAAGACCTACAGAAACGAGGCCGTTGAGAAACCTTTGGTATCTTCAAGAGAAATCTGTTCACCTTTTTTTTCAGCGTAAGGTGGCACTATGGGGGGCGGGGAGTGCCCAACCTGACAGCGAAATTTCAATCCAACTTCAATCTCAACCTACACACCGATTGTGGACCATATTATGTGAATTCAGCGCATGCTTAATGGCCACTCGTATTTCGATATACTCTTTTTTATGGATTATGAAAGCAGTTTTAGTCGTGTACCCTCAAGACATTATTGGATATGGAAAGTGTTTTGTGGACAACACCATCAGACACTTCGTCTTTTTGAAGCTCTGTGCAATTTCAATGATTTTGTGATAAACATAGCTAAACTGCAATCAGATTGGGTTTTGGCGCGTGCTTCATTATGACAGGGTCAATGCTTAAATTGAAATCTGAAAATGTGATTGAACTTTTCCCTTTTCCGATCTCTTCGGTTGGTATTTGGTATTTGCGAAGTTAGGCGAGGAATCGATTGTGACGGTAATCGATTGCTTGGCATTGCCGCAATGCCTAGTCGATGTAATCGGCATATCTAGGACAAGTCCTGTCCTCCCAAAGGGGGAATTCAAACTGACGGTTCAGACAGACACTCCAGTTAATGAAATCAACGGATTTAGGGGCAGGAACAATGCCGCAGATGGCTCAAGAGAGAGAGAAGCACCCTGACGATGTCATGGAGGGGACGAAGAGCGACTCATTATAAGCACCTCCCCCAGGAATGGCAAGAAGATTTGCCGCCAAACTATTCACGCGGCACGCTCCCCAATTCAACGTTCAACAATTCCGCTGACAACTGTCAATGAGATCTTGTCTAAGAGACCTGTTATGAGACCCCATTCGGACAATTAAGCGACTTTTCCCGTTCCGTCCAATTATCAACAAAACTAGGTCTCCTCGGTAAAATACCTATTGCCCACCACTTTCCATCTCACGAAAGCAAACTGGAGAAGAACACACAAATGTAGATGAAAACCGTCTGGGAATAATAAAGAAAAGTATCACAAATGTAATGTGATCCCCCAATATAGTATGAAGGCCTCAGAAACACAGACAGCCTTCAAAAAGCCACGTTATTTGACCAGCAGGTGTGTTTTCTGAACAGTATCTATATCATTACAGCACAATGCAGTCTCGAACGCTCATGCAAGAAGTACTGTGCCGGAACGTTCCATACAACGGACTTCTCTTTTCAGGCCAACTCCTGGGGACAACTGCAATTTCGCACGGTGTAACTGCGACGCCGTTTTCCTGTGTGGAATGTTCTACTATGTCCTTAACGTGAATCATGAAAAACGTGTTAATTTGATGTCTATCGTGAAACAATATCTTGCGCGCAAAGCTCATGCTTGGTATTAAATGCTGGGTGAACTTCACAAATACCTTGGAATTCAAATTATACCAGGAGCTGAGGAGCATAGGGGGTATATATTCTCCCACTTTTTGAGGGGGGAGGGAGAGCTATTGAATCAACACCCAACACATGCACGCACACCGATCACACACACAGTAAAAATTAAAATGGATTGTAAAGACTTTTTCAGACTTCCAATGACTAAAATGCATTCAATATCACTCAAAAGAAGGAAAACAATTAAAAAAAGCCATAAATATGCCTTTTTGAATACATATTACAGATGTACATTAAGATCGTAAACGTCGACATCTACATATTGAACCATACTTTGTCACCGCCCCCCCCCCTTTTCAAATTTTCGCCACAAATTTACGTCACTGACCAGGAGTGTGGAATTTGATTACATGTAACAACTGATAAGATAATCTGCCTTTTTTTCACACGCCTACAAGCGGAAATAGAATGCATCTCCAGCAACAAAAATCACTAACAGCATTCATGCAACTTGATAACTTGTTTATAACGGGTGGAAATACTTTCAAATGGTGGTGAAAAAAAGTAAAATGTCACATCCAGTATACAAAAGGCTAAGCAGCTGAAACGCAGCATTAATTCACGTAGAAACCGTGTATTCGATTTCAGGTTTGGGGCCATAGCGAGCATAATATATGAAATATCTGCGAGGTTTACCGAGTTGCCTGCTTATTCATTGGGATATGACGTCATGTGTCTGAAAGCGTGCCACAGTTAAATAATTTGGTTTGCTACTCGCATCTGGGTCTGAATTTATTTTGTTACCGACGCACTAGGTAAAAATGTACTTTTTCGAAGCTGTTTAATTTTAGAGAAAGGTTGAAAAACAAACTTCTTTATTGTATAAATTACCAACATCTGGGAAGCCCAGATGAAGAAAATATCGTTGCTCAAAGTTTTTATACAGACATAATTTTGCTCCTTGATTTCAACAAGATGTGAACATTGTTTTACATTATCGACAATTCCTCTAACCACCTTCAATGGAATCTTGTTTAAGAGACCTGTTATGCGACCCTACCCGAACAATTAGGCAATTTTTGTGTTCCGTCCAATTATCAACAAAACAAGGTCTCCCCGGTAAGATAAGAGTTAATTTTGCTCCATGGTTTCAACGAGATGTAGACATCATTCGACATTATCGACAATTCCTTTTCAAGCAAGATGCAGTCCATGATAATGTGCAACATCATTAGTTTTGATGCTACTGCAAACTAAATCAAGCGAAGAGTGAAACCGCCTTTAAACACTAATATGAGCGGCAACAGCTTCATACAGTAATCTTTGCATACGAGTAAACGACTTTAGTTGGTGGTCGTTTTGAGCCAGTTGGCTTTTGCAAAGCGAGGGACATCATTACTTGTACGTGTCTGAAAGGATAGTCGCGTCTCTCTCGATCCAACGTGATTGTCAACGAGTCGGATCATACATCACCAACAGCTCGATGCCTCCGGTAGTGGAACTGTTACAATGACCTTATCTGACTTCCGGAGGAGAGGAGGCAATTTCGGCTCAAACTCTGTCCAGTGACGTACGATGCGCGCTGAATACACGTCCACTTTCGGCAGCCTTCCCAAACCTGGGGCTTGTCTGCCGATGAAAACCAAGTTGCCCGGCCAAATTAGCCAACCGAGAGAAGGATGACGCTCGGAGTCAGGTCCTGTCCCGGTTCCTGCCCAGGGGCTCTACCTGTTTATACGGCACTGGCCCTTGCAGCACATAACCGGTAGGTAATGAGCTGGAATGGCCTTGTCCGTCAAGCAGCAGCTAAGGTTCAGTCATTTTACACAGCCAGGTCACGGTGCACCAAGATGACAGCTGACGATGTTGGAGTAACTGTTTGCGATGAACAGTTTATCATCTCAGAGATGTTTGTATAGTGTGTTTCCGTCACTTGACCCGAAGCCCTCCAACTAAGCCGTAAACAACAAGGTTGAACAACCTGCATGTTCAACTCCACAAAACGTAAAAGTAACTTCCCACATAACCAAAATCTGCAAGTTAATTTTTCGTTCTCTAGAATGTGATATCACCATCGACGTAACTTTCTGAAATAATTTTTGCGAATAAAAGTTGGCAGTGAAAATAGGTCATGCTGGTTGAAAGGACAACTCGACACGTAGCATAAAGAGCAGTGTCTTCGAAGACGTCTCCTTCGGAAGCTGTAACCGATTGGAGAGCCGTACTACATCATAAAGTCTTTCACGTCATCATAGCGGTAAATTAAGTCGTCAAAATAGTGCACAGAATTTAGTGAATGCCAGTGCAACCGTACCTCTAAATTCCACATTCGAAAAAAAATGATAGTGCTCATTTATTCATTCTTATTTGAATCATCTACCTTGCAGAACAATTAATGCTATGGCTTCGTGGGGGCACATTTTAAAAAATAAAACAGAAAGAACAGAAGAAACAAAAGAAACGAAAAAAGGAAAGACGTTGAAACCCCCATTGTGCTTGAAAATACCTTGGAACTGACCCTCCTCGACCGTTTTAATTTTTTACCAGTTTACTGCTTATGAGTGCTACCCCAAACTAAAATCTCGGCGACGCGCCTGATTAACCCTTTCCCACCACAAGGTTCTAACATTTAAAGAAGAAAAGAAATTAGTTGGAAGAGGTTTGCTCGACGGTCATGAAATTGAATTTGGTATTGCGAAATCCCCTGTTTACCATTATTATTATACATTATTCACCTCTCAAATTATACGGGATTCGTCAAAAGACAATTCAGAATTATACTCAAGGAAATGGAAGAAAAAAATAAAACCCCACCATTAAAATCCAGAAATGAATATTAACCGATGACCAATTATTCGTATGTTTTCCTAAGCCGGTTCTCTGAATCAAGACATTGAACTTTGGAGTCGTAACTTCGCTACGGCTCGCTTCCAACAACTCACACAATCGTAGTTTGTCATTATTGGCAAGTGAAATTAACTTACCACTTGCGATTCGTTGTGACATTTGTCCGATCCAGCGAAGATATTCTTCTCTTTAGTTGGCGATTTCTCTTCGTTTGGATTTTCTGGACACTGATTGATATCTATTGCTCGTAGATCAATATCCAGACCACTTGTTCCCCTAAAACAACAACAAAGAAAAACAGAACTTGTTTCAACAAATAGTTTGGAAATTACCTAAAAGATGTTTAAACGTTCATACACGTACCGTACAATCAAGAGTTCCCAAAAGAAAATTAATGTGAAACATATGTACTAACCTAGCAATTTCCACAGCGCAAAAATACTAATCTTCGTGGATGAATTCTCGCACATCAGTGCAAATATGCACAGGAGGGCAAAATTCCTTGGGTATTTACTTGGAAAAGGGGAAGCGGTCTTCGACATTTACCTGAACAACGTTTAGGACTATGACTCCCTCATGAGGGTGTATGTTTGGATTCCGATTCCTCCAAAAGTTCATGATGAAAATAAAAATGAAACAGTAAAAAAATCTGCTATTTTATTGATGCCCAGTATGCACTGAAGTACCACTAAAGTCAATAGGTTTCAACTGTTGAATCCAGAAATTTATTTCATTTCCTAATTTGGTGTTCTGCATGGTATTCTTTGAAGGGAGAATGATGTGGTCCATTCATAACAAATCACTGATACCGTGCACGATATGGGGCCGATGGGTACCCTCCATGTCCAATCCCTATACACACTCTAGACTATTGTTACCTAACACATCCTCCCTATAAGTCTGTAAAGAATTTCTGAGATTCCGATCAAACAATGATCAACACAAAGGCGAGGGGGGGGTTCTCTCCGCCCCATATCTTGCATCATATGAAATCGCGTCGTAGCTTGAGAGACCCTAGATCTCTCACTGCCTGCATCTCAAATTTTATCGTAAGGTGAAGCCCATAGCGAAGGCAAAAGCTTTTTTGACACCACATTTCTGCCCGGATTTAGGTGTGGATTACAGCTGTGCCTTTGCAGTGGACTCAGGCGGGACAAACAGAGAAACAAAACTTTCCCCATATCCACGCGCTAGAATTTAAATCCCAAGCATGTTTGGCGTGACAGCGTGAAAGAACATGATTAATTCGAGCCCTGCGGAGAGTGATCTTTGAGCATGGCATCAAGGACTTAGGATTAAGTTAAATGTGCCAGGTTACATTCTCACCCCAGGCCCGAGTATAGATCAAGTCTCAGGAGTCTGCCCCTCCAGGGGCGTCCAAAGGGGGAAACTTTGGGACAAGTATTAACCCGAGTGTGATGTTACCAGGGAGTGTTGCCGCAACTGGAACGCCGTCATTTTCACCCAGTCGTGCCACTGGCGCCGAGCAGGCCACAAGAGATGGCTCGTAATCAGACAGCCCCCGGTCAAAATCGACCAGATCAAAGGAAGAAAAAAAAAGAAGACCAGAAAAGCTTGGTAGGGTTACAGGGAGGCTGCAGAGAAACACTAAGAGTGATGTTCTTCGACCAAAGGGGAAAAAACAAAACAAACAAACAAACAAACAAACTAACACAAAACGCAAGTCGTTGAGTGTTAGTTTCCGGAATCACTGATTTGCACGCGTGTGCACGTTGGCAATTGCCGTTAGGTGACTCAAGGACACTGCAAGGCCCAGTAGATGATTGCTGGACCGTAAGATTAAAAAAATACTCCGTGACTAGCATCTTGAGACCTTCATTACTCTTGCCGTACATTTGGTCTCTGCAGAGTTTGGCATGTTGTATTTAGAACTTGTTCTAGTGGGAAGGTAGTCACTATAGGAGGGGGAAAACGAATGCCTTAAAAAAAGATAACGTCAGCGATTCCCCTAACGTGACTTCGAATATTGCAGCCAAATAGCTAGCCACACGAACTGAGCTTCAAGCAGACCTCCAAACCAACGATCCACTGCGCATCCTCTGAAAGTTGACAGCGCGCACTATACATGGCAGGTTCACACTTGATCATTTCTAGACCGAACCATGACGTCACCGGCTGATACTAGCGGCGAGGTATTAGCAGCGCATATATTTCAACGGGCAACGGCATCTTGGTGAAAGATGAGAGGTGCTGCGATTTTACTATGCAGCTGTAGCCATGCTACAAATCGTGCCAGCCATCGCTCTGATGATAACACGCATCACGAAATATCATCGAAATCTTACACGTGCATAGATACATATGCTGAGGAGTAGCATAAATATGTTAATTCCCGTTTTGTGACCAGATCCAAACAAAGCTAGCATCAAGGCTATTTTTCAGTAATTCATATTTTGCAAATGTTAGAATGAAAACGGCAATTGATGTATCTCTTAGTTTGCAGTCGATGTGAAAATGGACAATATATAGGAGTGGAAAATGTTGAGGGCACCAATTGATGTATACATCACAAAGGTCTTCTATTCAGAAATGACAGCGACTCAATTCATTGGCTTAAGCAGCTGTTTATTATCCCATCTGCTCTGTTACGTTCTTCGGTTTGTCCAAAGCATAAACATAATTATAAATTCAGATGGCCTCACAACACAGCTATTCATTACTAACCAATTCCACTCCCTCTAAATGTCCATTCATCTCGACACCAGTTAATGCATATCTATCACACCCAGACATATCGCTGAAGTGGACACAGTAGAAGTAGTTTATGCTGCGCGTGAAACAGATTACCAATCGATAAGGTCCATTTTGTTAAGATTTATTTTCAAAACTATTGAAGCAGTTTTATAATTTTAAGGTCTTTTACGTAACAAGAATACACCCGATCCGACTACCCACCGCTACCTTTAAATGAGGCCTGTGCAGCAAAATAGCCTTCAAGAACTGTCAGTGATGCTAATATATTTTCATATGATGCAATACACTGGCACACTTATAAGTGAGGCTATTCAGCGTCACGAAAATTTGCAAGCAGAAGGCTTGAACAAATCTCATTTATAAATCTGCCTTCTGTATTGCATCATACGATAATATATTAACATCATAGTTAGAGCATGGCTATTTAACTGCACAGGCCTCACTTATAAGTAGCGGTAGGTAGTCGCATCGGGTGACGAATAAAAGCAAATCTAAGGTATACCACAAAGAATACTGTAAGTCTCGTAAATGTATAAAATAAAATGTTCCTTCGGTACAGGCATTATGAAAAACCTAGCACGAACGGGTATGTGTTGGGGGTTATTAAGTAGTTAGAGGCAAGAGCAATATATATGACACCTCGACACAGAACTCAACGCCCACTTCCAGGAAAGCTGAAACATGGCCAATCAATGACTTGTGACTTGTGATAGCAACTGAACTGCCAGTATAGAAACGTCCTCAAATTAAATGGGGTTGTGTAATGTGTATCGCTGCTGAAAATGACAATTATGTTAATGAATTTTTTCACAATATATAATGTAGCTGATTATGCACCATCATGGGTCACGTGCATTTTTAGGTGCAAACCAAGTTGTCCACAAGAGAATGACCACTATATTTTACCGCAAAGAACAATCATCATAATTGGTGTGTGTGTGTGTGTGGGGGGGGGTATATTGGACGAAACAGCTCCGAACCCTGCGGAGTTCAGTTATTGCTCCATAACAACCGTTGTTTGGGGAGCCTACAATTTTTCTTGAATGCATGTAAATAACTGAAATTTTCTCTTGAGTTTCATTATTTTTGATATGTCGTTTTATGGCAACAAAAGGCAACACAGTGGTCTAACTTTGCGTACACTCTCCACAGTTGGAAAGTCATCTGAAGAAATGGTTATTCCTAAATGGGGTCCATCGAAAACATTTGAACATAAACTTTGTTATTACTAACTTACGAAATCACTGTTTTTCACTTAAAGGCTGAAATTTGCTTTAACATATTATCACGTACAAGCTACATGAAACTCTTCAAAAAGCAACACGAAGACTGAAAATCAACGTAAATTTGCCACAAAATATATTTCGAAGATGGAGTTAGAATTTTGTCCAAAGTGTCTTTAAACAAAATGTCTAGTGACTGCTGGAATACATTTAAGTGTTAGGTGGCTCCGTGTCGTTAAAAGTGATTGAGTCGAAACTGTTTAACACGTCAAAAATTTCAAAGCTTTGTTTGATATCCTTTTTGGGACCTAAGGGACTGTCTTGGTGAAAAGACAGCATTGGCAGTATCCTGTACGCTGACGTTCACATTGTTTTCGCTGGAGAATTCAAAACCATCAGTGTTTATGTTCAAAATAGGAAAGTGTTTCAAACAGCCGGAAAAAATCTGCAGGCTTCTATAGGCAACGGAGCCCATACCTTACGTTTTTCTCGTGAATCGCTGGAGGTTGGAAAGCAGATAGAATTAGAGAGAAAACACTGCCGGAGCGAGCTCAGAACAAGTTTGGATTGACCAACTAAAAACACGAGGCAACAAAACCGGAACGGCAACAAACATCCCGAAGCCTGCGGAAGAAAAAACCTGACTGGTTAAAATAAAGAAAGAGAGAGGAAGAGAGAGACAGAAAAAAAAAAAGAAAAATCACCCCTTCAGCGCTTATGGGCGCGAAATGAAAATATTCTGGTCGGAATTGCTCGACTGTCGTATTGAGCTGTAAATTTGAAGGCCCCGAGGCGGGAACTAGAAAGACTCGCTCGGAAAGGCAGCATAGCTGGCTGGCAGGGCTGGCTAATGAAGACATCACATGCATGTGCCAAACACTCCTGCGCGGCAAAATGAAATTACAATAAAAAAGGACGCGGTGCATAACGAAGTTGTCCAGCAAATTGATGACAGTGTGATGTGGTTCCATGGATGGGAACAGAGCCCTCAATCGAATAGGAAATGGTCGGCCTGCTTCATTTAACAACCATTATTAGTGTGTTCGTCTGTAAATTGATGTAATTCGGAACACAACAAGAGGCGAAAATCATAAAACACAGCCAAGTAAAAGTGGATGTCACTTAAACTGCGGATGTGCCTTACAGCCCGAAAACCTCAAAAATGAAATGAAACATAAACCAATTTTTATTGCTTAATTACAAACTCAAACTAAATGAAATACGGGAAAGTTAAACAATACAAATTTTCGTATAGTCATTTGCTTAATGTTGGGATATTTGCCAACTCTAGTAGTCCTCAATCCTTTACCGTTATCTATTAGGAGGATTGAAAACTGT